TTTCGGGTTTGGTTCTGTTTCTAGACCCGTTTCGTTTGGGATTGGTATAAATACCTAGAGGGTGTCTCTAGGGTTTGAGAGCAGGAGATTTGAGCTGTTGAAAGGGGTTTTCTTTGGGCTTCTATTCTAGGAGCAATTGGAGAGATTGAGAGTTGATTTGTTGAGGGTTTATGAGAGATTTGTAACCCTAGTTTGTTCCTCTTGATTTCTAATAGTGAAAACTCCCCCCTCCTTGCCCCGTGGACGTAGGCATCTCGCCGAATCACGTTAAAACTGGTGTTATTGTGTTTGTGCTATTGTTTGGTGTGTTTGTTCATCTCTCGGCTATTTGGTTGGTTCTCGGCATAGGGGATTCTCCCCAACAGAATGGCACTGCTATGTTTTGATTTCCTTAACCTAGAAATTAAGTTCTTATAAAAAGAGATTTTCTTTTGATTGCCTGCTCCTAATCTACTACTCTCTTTAAACTAATCTTCAGTTGTCCAACTCATTATTAGACTACAAACTACAAAACAAGAGTCAGAGGAAGCTTCTTATAAGCTGCACGTATCCTACTCATAAGAAATAGACACTTTGGCAGCTAACGAGAGGTTTATTCAGTAACGTAATTGGATTATTCTCAACTTGCATCTCTCTAATAACCATCGATCACTATATAGGAATATATAGATTATCGGTATAAAAGAAGGATATCAGATGCTTATCTTTCTCCTAAAATGTGAATAACTAGGATATGTTCATAGAGCACTGCCTTTCTTTTTAACTTTCTGCTTAGTTTTTCTTAGCTAATAAGGTACTGTAGCATCTTTAGGTTGTAGGGGATTGGAGGCCTTAAACTTTTTTCACCCCAAAAGAACAAAAGAGCAAGGGCATTGAATTGAAGTGGGCGGAAATAGGTTTGGAATCATAAGGTTGATAGTGGTGATGATAGGGGGGATGCATTTTAAACACACAGCAGGATGACAAAAGTGGAGAATGAGTCAGTACTGCTCTCTCCTTTTTTTACTTGGTATTCTCCAAACCTTGTATATCTTAGCTCTTTCTTCTCGCCCTGCTTCCTTGCTCTCTTTAAGTATCATAGTTAGTGACAATCCAACTAGATTGGTACTTGCTGTAGTCCACATTATTGTTACTTGCAATCTAGACACAACCATGTAGTTTATGGAATATAGGTTATTAATACCTTTTTTAATGTATTTTAGATAAAAGGAATGCATTCTTTGAGTGAATAAAGTGGGTTTCTAAGTGCCCCGACCATTTTGCAATAGGGAAAATTTTATCTTTGAACATATGACTTTCGATGCTCAAAGATATATAGGAATGAAACCCAAATTAGAAAGCACATAATGAACTGCGAAGGACTCTTCTTGGAGAACCTAAACTGTTAAAAGGGAATGTTTTAATCAATGTCCACTGAAAATATTGTAAACAACTAGATGACAGTTGCAATCCCAAGTATGATGATATGAGAAGTTCTGAATTGTAGAAAGGCCTTGAACAAAAGCCAGAAACCAAAAGGAACCAAATCTTAAGTTGTTAGGTATTAGCTCTAAATTTCCATCTTAATCTATTATTCTTCTAATTCTTTACACTGCCAAACTATACTCAAAAAATGAGCAATTTCCTAGATTTGAGGGACTAATATGGAATTGTTGAATATGTAAGGGACTAATATCTAAATAATCCTCCTGTTTAATAAAATTAACTTTCTGACACCTTTGCTGCTCTAATAAACAATCCCAAATAAGCTATTCCTGTACCAACTCCAATTGAGTACAATGTTTCAAGATAGTAGGATTTATTTATTTATTTTGCTTACTTCATAATAGAGTCGTTTTCATGGTGTTGTCCTTAGCATCACTTCGTCCTACAGGTTGCCAATCACAACGAAAAAAATTTAGCACTAGTACCACTACCATCATGTTGAATCACAACGTTGTGGATGTCTAAATTAAATATGCAAGAAATGAAAAAGAACAATACATGACAAAATATTAATTCTTGCAAAATTTAGCGAGGGCCGAGCTGACTGATAGGAGGAGAAAAACGAAAAGAGAGAGAACGGGTCGGGTTATATTTTTGATTTGCTGCCATGTATTGTTGATGTCTTTGTAAAAACACCCAATGCTTTGATTAGATTTTTTTTATGTCTCTGAAAAAAGCCAGGTTGCGACTTGTGAGAGGCTCTCCTAAATGCAAAGCACCTACTGTTGCATATGGCTGAATTTAGGGAGTGACCTTGGTAGATTAAAAATGCTCAACAGGTAGTGGATAGAAATCTGGTTCGACAATCAGTACTGTGGATATCAGGGCACATTATGCCACACATGTACCTATAATTTTCTAGAATAACAACCAAAAAACATAACAAAAAAAGAAGAAAAAAAAAGAGGACCAGCCACATACACAAAATTGGCCTGGAATGTACCCCCTCTGTTTCAGATTGCTGGGTTGATGATGTCTTCAATGAGACCTCTGGATTCACCTGTCATAATGTTGCCCGAATCAACCAAGTCCTACTCAGACCTCCATAATAATAAAGTTACGAACGTAGAAAGGTGATTTGTAATTCACATACTACCCCTCTAACTATCCGTGAATAGTATAGATTACATATTTTTTTTCTGTAGAGTATTCTGATAGGATCTTTATTCGAAATAGAGATGAGAAAATGATACCAACTGGTATATAAATACATAAAACAAGTGCTTCGATAAAAATCAGTGCAAACAGTTACGATATCAATGCATGAAATAATCATCCAATTCAGAGTTTATAGGAGGAGGCACTAGACATGCACCGCATTACTAATTTTCCTAATGTGAGAATCAATTTTGTGATAGTGAAAATCCAGCCACATCATGTCCCTTAAAATAGGAATATATACTAAAGTTTGGGGAAATTGGATAAGCTTCTTTTATTTTTATTTTTTCTTAATACAATCAGAATTTATTGGGCTTTCTCAGATTTAACCTTTTTAGGCCCATCCCAACCCACTAAAGCCCTAGCCTAGTTACTACAAAGCCCCATCTTCCTGAACAGCCTACAATACAAGCAAGAAAAGGTACAAGAAATGGTAGGCCCAAGTCAAGCCTGAGACACAAAAGCAATTCCCTTGGCTCTCCACTCAAGAAGGCAATCACCTTCAGTGTATCTCTCCATCACACAAAATTCTCATCAATTTTCCACCCCATTAAAAATCATACCCCTGAAACAAAAACAAATTCTCAGCAACAAGATCTCTCTCTCTCATCATCACCAAGAAACAGAGGAGGGAGTAATTTAAGTGATGGCATTGGCTTTTAGAGCCACAGCAGCCATCAGAATCAGACCCCCTCCCCAGTCCAAACCCAAACCCAAACCCAATAAGCATTCTCTTCTTCTTCCTCCTCCTCCTCCTCCTCCTCCTCAAAATAATGAGCAACACTCCTTGGTCTCTTCAACATCTACAACTGCTATCTCTTTTCTTGCTCTCTTATCCATTCCCAACGGATTCTGTGAAGCTAAGGCCTTTGCCTTCTCCAAGGAGGACATCGTCTCCTCTCTCACAAAGGTACCACCACCACTATTAGTGTAAACTGCGCAATGATCAAATTGGCTCAGTGAGCTTGGTATCTATATGATTCACTAGAGTTGCTAGTTTCTGATGTTTTAGCTCCAAAATTAATCTTCTTCTTGATGTTAAATATACATGTGTCAGTACCTTAATTACCTGTTGAAAGTTGAATTTCTAAAAATTCTAATGACGTCTCTATCAAATTCATGAACCCATAATTACCTTCCTTATCTTTCGTGATACTACTGGGAGAGGGAAAAAAACCCATATATGAGATTTTCCACAAAGGGTTTGGATCTTTCACAATGCTCGACATATTTCTCCTGTAAATCTTTACCTTTTGAACTACTAATAGTGCTCTTTTGCTATTTTTCTGAGAGCACGTATAAACATATATGATATAGGCTTGCATTCGCCATAATTTATCAAGCTTTTCTTGATTCAGTCTATGAAAAGCTCATTTCTTTATCATCACTATTCATGACGCATCTTTTTTTTTCTAAGGTTGAAGACACCATAGACCAAGTAGGGGGTGCTGGCTCAAAGGCTTTGGACTTCTCCCAGCAAGTAATTAAGGTGTTGGGTGATACACTGAAGCCAGCAGTTGATGTGGCTGTGCCCATGCTTCAGAGCGCAGGTGAAGAAGCGCTGAAGATTGCGTCGCCTGTTGTTTCCGATGCTTCGAAACAAGCCAAGGAGGCTCTTCAGAGTGCTGGAGTTGATCCTAGCCCTGTTCTCTCTGCTGCGAAAGTATTTCCTTATTCCTTCTAGTTTCATGTTTCAATCTGCTCATTTTACACCAGTGAAATGTTAACCTCTTCGATTGAGTTTTCGCTGGTATGGTTACAATTTTTCCATGAATGGTGCCCCTGTACTAGTTGCCCAGATCGGGTGCTGATAGTCATAATGTTTCAACTTTTTGTACTTTGTTAGCTAATTTCTTTCATTTAATGTTGCTTTTCCTCAATACCTAAATTCTTTTCGGCACCCGGTAGCCATATCTCTATAGTCTCCCATGCCTGACACCCCTATGCATATTGTTGAAAGGGAAGAAGAATTCTATAGAGGGCCCTGTGCAATATGATGATATAGGTAGGAAGGCGAAAGTGACATCTGACATATCAGTGCAATCACTATCAGATCAATGACATGTCTTTTAGTGCAGTCACCATCGTTATAATCATAATTACACTGATTGACAATAGTGATTAACTAGCAGACATTATTGATACATCAGGTATCAGTATCACCTCTCCTTTCCAGATATACGATAATCTATAGATCGAGAGCCCTTTATGGGGAATTTTTCCATGCACGCAATATGGCTGGGGTACTCGAGTTAAGAGGCCCCATCAAAAGAAAAATAAATGATATTCATGTACTTTTTGGCCAGATAGGAACCTGACATATTGCATTTCAAATGCTTAACATTGTGATGATGCATAGACCAGACTATGAATATTTATGAACTATTATTGATCAGAAATAAAGTTAATAAATAAAAAAGAAGTCTCAGCTTGACAAGAGGTTGATATAGTTTCAATGTCAATAGACATTTGTGCAGCAGACACCAAAAGTGATCGAAGGGGCTAAGCCAATTGCTTCAGCAACAGTCAAAACAATTACTTCATCAGATCCTTCAGTGATTGTTGTATCAGCTGGAGCATTATTCGTTGCTTACCTTCTCCTTCCATCAGTATGGTCTGCAATTACTTTCAACTTTCGTGGTTATAAAGGTGTGTTGCTTTGTGTTGTGTTGCTTTGTTCTATAACATAGCAAAGTTTATTTTTCTCCATAGATTATTTGACTCCTTTATTTCTAAGTACTAGGAGAGATACACGTGCATTTCACGTGGTTATTTGTTTGGTTTCTTTCTTTAGTATAACTTGGTTGTAAAAGTGTTTCTTTTAAATCTCGACCTCATGATGTAATATTATATGTGAACTTTCTTAATACTTACATTTATGTATCTTCAGCTTCCATTTTATGTGTCGTTGTGACCATAAACAATGCAAGTTACAAATTATTGGAAAATATTATTTGCTTATAAACCATGAGCAATGTAAGCTACACATTATTCGAAAAGATTATTCACTCATATAGCAATCAATTTCTTCAATGCATCAAATATAATAATAACAGATGACATAAAACTCTTATGAAGTAAAAAATAAAAGGGAAGAAAAATCTTCTATCTTAATCCCTAATGACTGTAGAATAAGAAAACCTATCATCATTTAAGAAAACCTCTCAATAAGTTTGCAAAGATAACCACATTGAATTATTAGGTTGCTCAATTCTTATTATTTTAAAATTAATTCATCAAATCATTGAAATAGCTATTATATCCACAATTCTTAAGTTATTTTGATATCAGCTTCTCCAATCAAGAGTAAAAAAAACAATTAGAGGAAAATTAGTCCCTCAAATTGCTAATTATACCATTAACTTGAATGACTAATTTCAAATAACTTAAGATTGAGGTACCTAACAATAATAATTTCAATGCTTTGATGGACTAATTTCAAAATATAAAAATTATAAGGGACCACTACAAAAAATACTTCTCAGTTGATTTTTTGTTAATAATTAACTAATTCCATAATTTGGTATCAATCAATTGGTTAATATTTACACGTGCAATGCATATTATGTTTACAATGTTAATGTGCTCTAAGCTTCTTTCTACTCTTTAGTTGTTTACCAATTCTAATTAGATCAATTTTTTATTAATTAATGTGCTCTAAGCTTCTTTCTACTCTTTAGTTGTTTACCAATTCTAATTAGATCAATTTTTTATTAATTGGTTTTGAATGGAGTTCTTTCTACTCTTTAGTTGTTTACCAATTCTAATTAGATCAATTTTTTATTAATTGGTTTTGAATGGAGTGAGTTTTAATTCGGAAGTTTAAGCTTCCTTAATACTCTTTAGTTGTCAACCTATTCTGATTAGATCATTTTTTTATTAATTAGTTCTGAATGGAGAGAGCTTTAACTCAGAAGTTTAATTTTAATTTAATAGCTTTAGTTGATAACCAATTATAATTAGGATAAGAATGTTAATATTGAAAAGGACTAGGGATAAAATTGACCAATGAAAGTTTTTCAAGAACTCTCACTTTTAAAGGGAATATGATTTGTAAAGGTAATGGCATAAAATTAAGACCAGCTTTTCATATTCTGAAATTCATGGTTTCATATTTCCCAACCATTTGTTAGTTGGCAGTACGGTGTGAACCGACCAATGTGAACAATATCCATTTTGCTAAACCAAAATGCTCAGGAATGATATAAGGAGATTATTACGGATTCTAATGACTCTTTTTTTTTTGAGGACTCGGAAATAACTTTTATGAGGAGGATTTAATAACTTTGCAATTTGGACAATTACTGTAGGATTTATGGTTATTGGTTCAACCCGTGGCATATGGTATATCTTCTTGTTTCAACAAGTCTCACTCTTCCTGTGTCTAACTTCTATCAAACCATAAGAAGGAAAATAAGTACTAATGCAAAAGAATCCAAACAAACCTGCCCCCGCCCTACCCCCCACCCCCCACACACACCCAGAAAACCCCCAAAAAAAACATCAACACACACAACAACAGCAACAACCCCCCAAACAAACACGAAAATAACCCGAAAACAGTACTTAAGAATTGTTAGCTTAAGTTATTTATCAGTGCAGTCACTCAAGATTGTTAGCTTAAGTTATTGAAATAGCTATTATCAGTGCAGTCTTATACAATTCTTAAGTTATTTTGATTTCCGGTATAGCTGTTAATGATGCCTACGGTACTTTTGTTTTCAATAGCTTTTAGGGAGTTATTTAACTGTATAAGACTGCACTGATGTTAGCTTATTGTTGTACAGTCACTCAAGATTGTTATATGAACAGCTTGGATGGTTTTTTTTAGGTAATCTCAGTCCTGCTCAGACTCTTGACCTAATTTCCACGCAAAACTACATTATGATTGACATAAGATCAGAAAAGGAAAAGAACAAGGCAGGAATTCCTCGCCTCCCATCTGGTGCTAAGAACAAGATGATCGCAGTGCCGTAAGAAATGCCTTGCTCTATCCATATATCCTGCTTTTATGTCTTTGTTTTTACATTTAGATTTAGACCATGACTATATTGAAATCCTTTTTTTTTCAATAGTGTGGAGGAGCTCCCTAGCAAGATCAAAGGCCTAGTAAGAAACACAAAGAGAGCAGAAGCAGAAATCACAGCGTTGAAGATTTCCTACCTCAAAAGAGTCAACAAAAGCTCTAACATCGTGATACTAGACTCGTTAGTTCTCCAATACTCATTACAACTAGGAGTAATTGCTGATAGACCCCTGTACCATAGCTCACTTGCGGATAGACCCTCTGTAGTTCTATTGTGCAAACGTAGGATCCCCAGTACTATTGCCCAATTGTGAATAGACCCTTGAGTGAAAATTTTCTGATTATTTTACCCTCAGGAGGTCTATTTGTCAAGTAACAATTACTTTTTTCTCTGAGGTTGAAAAAGAAACAATTTTCTTTTTCTTTGAGGGTGGAAGTGTCAATAAATTTTACTCAGGGGGTCTTGTCTGCAATAATAGAACTACACTACAGAAGGTCTATCCACAGTTAACCCAACAAACTAGTGATTCAATCTATCTCATATAAATTCATAATGCAGGTACTCAGATATATCTAAAATCGTTGCAAAATCACTCACCAGTCTCGGCTTCAAGAACTGCTGGATCGTCACTGACGGGTTCTCTGGAGGACGAGGATGGCTACAGAGCCGACTTGGAGTAGACACTTACAATGTGTCACTTGCAGAAGTTCTTTCTCCTTCAAGAATTATACCTGCTCGGTTTGGTACCACGAGCTCTACTGCTCTGCAGCCATCAAGAGAGCTTCTTCCAGGGGAGTGAAAATGAAGTTGAAGTTGTAGTTTATTTGTTTTGTTTCTTGCACATGGAATTAAAATTTGTTTTGCTCTTTTGTGTGATCCAGAGGCTTGTGTATGTTCTGATGTTATTCTTGTTAATATTTACAAGATTTGGTTTTGTTATGTTTTAGTTAGTTTTTTTGGAGGTCAGTAAGCGTAAACAATTCCAAACAATTTAAAAGATATGGGGTCAAAGTTAGGATTAATTGCGTATAGACCCTGTTAGTATTGTTGTTTTCAACTTCCTACCCCTGTAGTTTCATTTTTGCAGGTAGACCCTACCCTAGGCAAAATTTTGGCAAAGGTTGCCCTTGAGGAAAATTAGTGAGTCTATCTGAGATTAAAGATGGGAGAAACATACGAAGGTTGTCTCTCTGCCAAAAGGAAACTACAGGGATAGTAAGTTCAGAACTGCTGTACTACAGGGGGTCTATGCGCAAGTGACTCCTCAATATTAGAACACAGAGATTTTTAGGGTCTAATATCAAAATAAGACTAATCTCGGGGCTTATTATCCAGAAAACCCTCCCTTGAATACCTTCTTCTCGATGCCAACAATTAATTCAATTGTAATAGAATTCCAAGAATTTCCTTATTCATCTTTTACAAGCCACCCCCTACGTGTGCTTCTAAATAAACGATGTTCCTTTCAGAATATTCCATGAACGTTTTCTCCAGGATAACAGCTTCTTCCTCAGACACTCAACATTTGAACCAATATATCATTCCACATATCCACAGGTCCTGGTAAACACCAGTGAACACAGTCATTATACAATTTCCACCTCTCATCTGGCCAATGTCCATATCGGCTTGGATGCCCATCCGGTCTTAACGACATAGCATTCGTCATATCCAACAATCGAAACTCAGTTCCTTTCTTCATCCCTTCGTGCTTCGCTTTCTCAAATTCCTTAATCTGATCCTTATATAATTGTTTCTCATCGGCACTCAAATTCGTTTCATTTCGAAGAAATGGTCTTGTTCTCGCACAATCACCTCCATTGTCCCATACCCCATTCTCAAAATGCGCAGGAGATACCGTTCTCAAAATCATCGTTCCTTTGAACTTCTCTGATTTATTGATGCCCTGAAATGCAGTTTGAAATGCTCTCTTGTTAGAATAATGCATTGTTCGTTGTGTGACATTTTTATTTGTACAGTAGAGGCACCCGATGATTCTTTTCCTGTGGTAGAATATTGATGGACGCTCAAACCACCTACCTGCAGATAGGATGAGATAGTCGAATTCGTCGATATGGGATGCCCATTTATTGTCGACTTGATCGAGGTACAACTTCCATAAATAAGTGTTTTTTGGTCCTTTGGTTTCTTTAGCTTTGATCAGAAATGGTGACCAGAAGATTGTGATCGTGAAGTTAAATGCAGGGTAGTACATTCGTTTGAAGTTGTCGTCTGAGTTTTTGGAGATGTCTTTTGGATACATCACCTGAAAGTATAATGTGAAATTTTTTAGCACACCATAGATTAGTATTCAGTTCAGAAAAAGAAAAGAAAAGAGAAGTTAAGCATATGACCGTTGTATTATTGTTCTGTGATGACTTCACAGAGACTGTTATAGCGAACTTTTAAGTTGCTTTATTAGACAACTGCTAGTAAAATTTATTAATAAAATGATAATGCAACAGAAATGTAAAATTATAATGCAGTCTGCTAATTATATTTCTTCCTTCTCACATTGCCATGGTATGGATGTTGGTATAAGTTTCAAGATTCAATCCACGTTTATTCAAACTCAATCAACACTCGGGTAAAACATAAAGAGAAGAGCACTAATGATATTAAAGAAAATAAAAAACATGAACTCTTGCTGAATACATCTATCAACCTTTCTCATCTTATGGACTCTCCTAATCTTCATTGACTAGAAATCATCCCAATTGACGTAGTTCTTCAAGCTATTACACGTATAAATTGAGAACCTCTTGTCACTCATCTTAGTATGATAAACTTTATAATACATGCAAAAACATCCTGGCCTAAACTCTTTCATAAATAAAATATACAGGCTTACCCGCGATAGGAGGCACATCAAGGATTGCATCTGGTTTCTTGCCAAAGAGTCTCCAACAAAAGCTAGCGTCTTTCCCCTCATAATCTCCAGAAACTGCTTAGGTTCAAAGAGTGGCAGCTCGCAACCATCTGGCTTCCATCTCCACTTCAAGAAGTCCAGGTTTGGTTTCCCATACTTCATGCAATTTTGATGCTCTTGGATTGTATAACATGTCGTATTCGTATAGTAAGGTGCTTTCCAATCTCTCACCCATTCCCCTTTAGACAGATCGCAATCTTTTATTAGTTCCCTGTTTATTGAGTTGCCAAAGTTTGAACTAGGAGGAGAAAGGTTGACTTCTAGAGGTGATGGTGGTGGTAGAGAATTAAAATTCACAGCGATAGGAGGAGGAGGAGGAGGACGAGAACTTAAGGTGGTAGAAGAATTTAAGAAAGTTGGAGGATTTGAAGAAGAAATGTTTGAAGAGCTTAAGTCATGTCTATAAAAACTCGAATCATACGATGCAGACTTAGAGGAAGAGAAAGAAGAAATGATCAAGATAGGATGAGAAAGGAAACGGTAACTAAAGAGGTAGCCGATGATGTTAAGAAACAAGACAACGACAATCGAAAGAAGAATTAAGCCTTTGGTGATGCTGAAATGGTTGTTTTGCCTCCCAATTAGCTGATAAATGTGGAAATGCTTCATGAAAGGATTTTGATGTTTAAAATTGGAAGAGGCGGCATTTTCGAATCCCTTCAGTTTTCTTAGAGTTTTGGCTGGTGGTGTTGCCTCTGCTTCCATTTGGAACTTCTGGGTCTCCAAACTTTTCAGGTTGCTTATTTGTAGAAAAATTACAGTAGAAATCAGGAGATGACTATGATTCTATTCAGCCATCTATAAGATTTCTTAATTCTTCATAGTTATCATGTGTTTTTTTAAAATATCATGCCATAATTGTAACAGATTGTCTAAGGACTCTAATCTATAATTGCATGTTCTCTCCTTGAAATATATCCTCTGTATTTTTCTTATTTGCAGCTCTGCATAAAATACATCAGTGATGAGAATCTTCAGTTATTTTGCTTGCAGACTTAGAAGTGGTCAACTCATTGTATTGCTGCTGATGCGTTAGAGGCACCAGCCCAAGTTGTCATTTCATTTACTAACACATTATGATTAATGTAATCACTAATTATAGATTAGTAGGTTTTTGCATAAGGAGCAGGCGAATCTTACTCCTGACATTTGGTTTGAGTTTTATATAGTTGCTAATTTAAGAAGTTCATAAATGATCGATAATGATCTCCCAGAATTTGGTCGGAAATAATAGAAAATTTCCTCATTCTGAACTCGTCTAAGAAAAATGTCGTCCATATGTCAGTTTGAATGCTTAGTTTATGCAACTGAGGATCTGTCACATACAAGTTGGTGATTTAGAGAGATGCGCACGTTATGTTAATGAAAAGTCTACTGTTAGTACGTTGAGGAGAATCTTATCACTATAGACTTTGTTGGGTCAAAATTTTACATTATGTGTAAGCATAAGATGGTTAAAATTGGCTACACCTCAGATAAATTTTTGTAATCCTGCAAGGAGAGAGAGCCTGTTACTCGAGAGAAGGAAAAAAAAACTTATTCGATTGATATCAGGTTCAAGGAACTCTATAAACACAGTTATAACTTTTTAGTTTCTCTTTCAATCATTTGCTTGTTTTACTGATTCAAGCATCAGATAGACACTACTGATCTCCATCAGCAATAACAGTCTGTTCTCTTCTGATCTGCTCAGCATTTGAAGCAAGAAGTCAACCCAGACATCAATAAGGCAAAACAGGGAAAACTTGGTTTTGAACCAATAACCTGGTAAACGTTCTGGTTTCGAAATCACGATCTTTTTTTATCGTATTTACATATAAGAGAAACTCGACCTTCTGAAAACAAAAACAAGGGAAACTTGGACTGGTCTTTCTTGGGGAGAGGAGCGATTTTGCTCTCTTTGTGCATGGTATGTGTCATGAATTATGTCATATAACAATGACAACCAACTTTTAACTAATGAAATAACGAGAAAATATTAAATACAGACAATGAGGTCAATGGATTCAAGGTGTAATATACATAAGATGTTACAAGACGTAATTCCTTCATTACAGAAAATCAGCATAGATGACCGTTGGAACACTCAAGTCTGGAGGGCGCATAAGTAAATGATTTCCTACCTTAAACCGTGCATTTTATGCTTGCATTTATATTTTCGAACTCCACATTTGATAGCATTATTTCTTGACCAATTTGAAATTTGCTCTCATCCCCCTTAGAATTTTATCCAATCAGAATAGTTTGAGCCCCTCTAAGTGTGCCTAAACTCAGGAAAGAATGTCTAGACTTTTATTTTATCAGTTGCATAGTTTCCTATTCAATTAGTTTCATGTCATTGGATACCGAGATTTTCACTTCTAGAGATGAAAAATTTTGTAAAAAATGGAAGGCAGAAAATATTGTTACTTGCTACAAAAGATGTCATTGATAGTTTAGTAGTTGCTGCATAACAAATTATGCATTTTAAGGATACCCGAACAATTATCAAAATGTTACAGTAATTGTTGATGTAGAATATGCATAGCCATCAATTTATTTAATATACAATTGATAATATATTGTTTTCTCCTTCATGCTTGACAATAATCAGTTGGGTTTCTCCTTCATGCACATTAATTAGATATAGCATTAGCTTTATGAGAAAAGCTTGAAAAAATTGATAAAATATGTGACTAATGATGATAACATCACTTGTTTAGTATATCACTGTCATTATTAGATGAAATTTCACCCACATAGTTGTTTTCGTCGAAAGTCACCTTAGTCATTGATTTCATTAAACTTTAAGCGTTACAAATGAATTCAAATAACAAAAGAACAAAAGATTACAACTTTCTTGAAAATAAACGCAAGATCCGTTTATCGGCTCTTGCTTGCGTGGGTTCTTCGCCGGTGCCGGGGTTAATCCGTGGACGACCTCGAATCAGATCCGGTTGCAGAAAATTGGGCAGAGCTTCTACCTCACCAAGGGGGTATTTGCTTGAAGTCCTGGAATCGACAAAGCGATTTCAGGGCTCTTCTCGAGATTAAGACAAAGCCTAATCTCAAAGAACGGACGTACGAGCTTCAGATCCTTCGAACGGCTTCTCCTTTGCTCCGAAGTTCACCGGGATCTCGCTGTCCTTTGCTGAAATTTCGTGCTCCTTCACTCTCCAATCCAGCAGCACCTCGTCCTCTTGATAAGATTCCAGATCCAGAAAATGGAGGCCTTTGGTTCATATTTATAGGCCTCAAAATGCGGTTATTTGGATAAGAACAAGGGATTTGGCTCTATCTTTAGTCAACAGCAGCCTAACCACGTTTGAGGATGATCTCAAGTCAGTTAAGAACCCCTGGAACCGATAAACCCTGCAAAAAACCAATTAAAAACCGTCAAAACGTGTTTGAGACATTAGACTGCGCGGCAGAAAAATCTGACCTGCGCTCGCGCGGGTCGGAATAATCCGACCCGCGCTTGCGCGGGTCGGAAATATCCGACCCTTTTTTTTTGTTGATATGTCATTGAGTTGACTTTTGGATCAATTGCAACGTGTTGACTGGCGTTGACCTAGGGCTACGCATTGACCGGCGTTGACCTTAGGGTTTTGAATCGATCGACGTTGACTTTCATCGCAACGCGTTGACTGGCGTTGACCTAGGGCTACGCGTTGACCGGCGTTGACCTTAGGGTTTCGCGTTAACCTGAGGAGAACCAGTTTATACTCGTGTACTCCTGGGAGTTTTGGGAATCAGTTTAACCTCGTGTACCCGCCGGAGGTTGCCAGGTTATCCTTAAGAATTATTATCTGTAATATTCTCTAGGAACTTCCTGTCAAAATGGGAAACAGTTTAGACTCATGTACCCGTTGGAGTTTTGAAAGGTTATCCTTAAGAATTATTATACGTAATATTCTCTAGGAACTTCCTGTCAAAATGGGAAACAGTTTAGACTCATGTACCCGTTGGAGTTCGGATATCGAATATTCCGATAAAAGGCGAAAGTATCGCGAAATCACCCAAAATATAAAATTGGGTCCCGAATATTCCGAAATAGGTGAAAAATCACGAAATCGCCCAAAATATAAAATTGGGTCCCGAATATTCCGGGAAATGAAGTCGAACTCTGAACATTCCAAATATGAGCAAAAACACCGTGAAATTGTCCAGGAGATGAGGTTAAGCTTCGAAAATTTCGAAAACGGACGAAAACGGACGAAAATGCAGCAAAACGAGCCCTAAACTGGGTCTGACCCGCGTTCACGCGGGTCAGATAGATCCGACCCGCGTGACCGCGGGTCGGATTAATCTGACCCGCGAGCACGCGGGTCGGGCACAAATCTGACCCGCGGAACGCGGGTCGGAGAGGGGTCAAAAGTTGAAAAAATTCCAATTTTTTTTTTTTTTTGTTCTTCTTCTTCTTCCTTCTTCAAGTTCGGTCCCAGCTCTTCTCCTTGAGTTCTAACCATTCAAGAACTCCTCTTCCTCCAGAACTCCGCGTTGACTGGCGCGCACGAGTTGGTTGACGTGCGCGCGTTGACCGGCGCACACGAGTTGGTTGACGTGCACGCGTTTGACCGGCGCGTACGAGTTGATTCGACGTACGCGCGTTGACCGACGCGCACGGGCTGATCGACGTGCGCGCGTTGACTGGCGCGCACGAGTTGATTGACGTGCACGCGTTTGACCGACGCGCACGAGTTGGTTTGACGAATCTTCTTGACTCGCCCATTCATTGCTTCGAGTTTCGTGTGGGCTCTCGTAGACAATTTTAGACGCCTACAGATACCCCCTCCAAAGTGTTTCAGCCTCATTCTTTTATAGAGGAGTCTGAAACGCTTTGGATATGATGGATCCCCACCTTCAGTCGGTGTTAAAGGAGCTACAGATGGTTTCGATTCTTGACTTCTCCATATTTTAGCGTATTCTGTATTTTGTCGAATAGCTAAGATTTTCTCGGTACTGCGTTTATCGTCTGACCGTTGTTGAAGCCTTGAACCGGAATTAGTGAGTGGGTTTTTTTTTTTTTGTTGATATGTCATTGAGTTGACTTTTGGATCAATTGCAACGTGTTGACTGGCGTTGACCTAGGGCTACGCGTTGACCGGCGTTGACCTTAGGGTTTCGAATCGATCGACGTTGACTTTCATCGCAACGCGTTGACTGGCGTTGACCTAGGGCTACGCGTTGACCGGCGTTGACCTTAGGGTTTTGCGTTAACCTGAGGAGAACCAGTTTATACTCGTGTACTCCTGGGAGTTTCGGGAATCAGTTTAACCTCGTGTACCCGCCGGAGGTTGCCAGGTTATCCTTAAGAATTATTATTTGTAATATTCTCTAGGAACTTCCTGTCAAAATGGGGAACAGTTTAGACTCATGTACCCGTTGGAGTTTCGGGTATCGAATATTCCGATAAAAGGCGAAAGTATCGCGAAATCACCCAAAATATAAAATTGGGTCTCGAGTATTCTGAAAACCGACGAAAATATCTCGAAATTATTTGGGAGATGAAATTGAACTCTGAACGTTCTAAATCTGACTGGAAATGCCGACTGAAAATGCCGCTCAATTATCCGGGAAATGAAGTCGAACTCTGAACATTCCAAATATGAACAAAAATACCGTGAAATTGTCCGGGAGATGAGGTTAACCTTCGAAAATTTCAAAAACGGACGAAAACGGACGAAAATACAGCAAAAACGGGCCTTGAACTGGGTCTGACCCGCGTTCACGCGGGTCAGATGAATCCGACCCGCGTGATCGCGGGTCGGATTAATCCGACCCGCGAGCACGCGGGTCGGACACAAACCTGACCCGCGGAACGCGGGTCGGAGAGGGCTAAAGAAAAAAAATCTGATTCCCTCTTTTGTTCTTCTTCCTTCTTCATCGGTCCCAGCTTTCCTTTCTCTCTAAAATTTCGGTTTCTTTTCTCCTTGAGTTCTAGCCATCCAAGAACTTCTCCAAGATCAGAACTCCCCAAACCCTTTAAATTCCACATTGATTCCTTCCCCTCTTCTTCCAACTTGGATCCGAGTAAAGGGAGATTAAAACCTAGGGTTTGTGATTCTTCCAACGTGAGTTCGAGCTTAAGCATCGGGTGGAGTTCCTGCCTTGGATTTCGATTTCAGGTACAAATTGAGCTTTATGTTCTTGATCTTGGTTACCCCTCTTCAATTTGACTCGGTTTTCACTTTATCCTTTTATTCCAACCGAAGTCAAGAGCTAGGTTTTCGACAGCTTGGTGCGATTCTCCTCGTCGAATTCGCCGACTTTGATTCAGGTAGGCGTCATCCTCAGCTTTGGCTAAGTTCCATCTTGTGTTCTCAACTGTAAAGGGGGTTTGAAACCCTAATTCCGAATTTAAGTTAGAATTAAGATTTCTGTTCTTGATTTTGGCCACCCCTCTTCGATTTGACTTGGTTTTCACTCTGATTTCTTGTCAGGATCTCAGCTCCCTCTTCGCCTCAGATTCGAGTTTTGCTTAGTGGTGGATTTTCTCAATTCAGATCACGCTATTCTCGAGTTCAGGTGAACCTCGAATGCTTCTGTTTCAATTTTGGTTGTGTCTGTGATCTTTAGTGGTGATAATTGAACTTTAGTTCTTGAACTTTGGGGGAAAACCTGAAATTGATGGCTGAAACTTTGGACTGTTCAGAAAACCTGAAATTGATGGCTGAAACTTTGGACTGTTCATGGCTAAAAAATTGTGGCAATACTGATTTCTCGAGTTGGTGCTCTTGTGGCTGAAACTTTGGACTGTTCATGGCTAAAAAATTGTGGCAATACTGATTTCTCGAGTTGGTGCTCTTGTATATGATTCAAATTTGAACTTATATATAGCCGAGCTCTTGTATATAATTGAATTTGTGCATGAATTGAATCCGAACTCGTATGTGGTTGAACGATTCGCTTCTGAACTTGGCTTGTAGTCGAATGACTCGAAT